CAAAGGTCTAAAAATAATCATTTGCTCCTTAGCTCCTTAAAGAAAAATTTAAAATATTTTGTTTTTGTTATTTTCTGGCCTAGTAACGATTTATTTTGAAATATTTGTATTGTTGTTTTTCCACAAAAGTTTTCCATGAAAACGTTCTCAGGCTCAATGAAAAAAAAAATAAAAATTTCAGTTAATAAATTTACTTAAATTATAATTTCTTGACACTGAAAACAACCGTGTTAAATAAATTTCCATTCTATTTAATTAACTTGGCAATTTTTTTAATTTTCTTTTGGATGCAGAAGTGTTTCTAGAGCATCTAGCTCATGGAAAATAAAGCGCTCATTGCCTCGCGAGGCGACTGGCTGCCTGGCACTCTATTAAACTGGGCAGATGTCCCGTAGTCTTAACGCCGAGGTACTGGCAACTCCGATGTAACCTCGAAACGGATTCAAATGGTGCGTAGGGAACCTTAGACAGCCGAGGGAACGAAGTGGCGACACAGCCAGAACCCGTTATTATTGGGAACTTTTGTACCAAGGTGCAGTGAGCGCTTATTAGAGAAGCTTATATGGTCTTGGGTTGCAGAGTTAGAAACTTATTCTAGGGATACAAAATATCTTCTAGTTCTCAGTGTCCCTTGTTCTGTTGCATCCAATTCATTAACTACTCATAACTAAGTAATATTACTCAGCTAAGCTTTCAAACTAGCCGTTGTTTTCTTTTTTTGTCGGTAGTTCCGACTCGGAACTAGCGTGACGGAAACAGCACTCAGATTACCAGCCGTCTATTATAGTAGTTTCGTATTCCCTCTTAATATTTTTTAAATCTACACGATTTACAAATAAATCCGAGCAGATTGTTGGGTGTTAAAGAGTTCTGGTGTTCGTCTATTTATCAACACCTCGCTGCCAAACGTCTCATACCTAATTCTTGCAATGCTGGGGCGGAAGCACAAAGACTCTTTCCGCCATCTCATCCTCATCAAGACAGGAAAGGAAAATGGAGTTGTCATGTGTACCTATTAAAGTTCCACAAGTTGTCTGCTAATGAAAGCAAATACCTAGCAAGACCCTCTAAGATTGCGGGCAACATGAGTTTAGCCCACCTGTAGTGCCTCGAAGCCTTCACCCAGTTATCTACTGTGACTTCGATGGCCGAAGGTGTGTAGGCTATAACTAGCTGCGTACCGTGGAATACCTGGTCCGAGCCCTCTCCTGCCATATAATCAGATGTCTCATTAGTAGTATATACTACTACTTAGTATCTACTCTACTGAACAAACAAAACTAATGAAAAAATTAACAAACTGAAAAATAAATGATCAAATTTGATAAAAAAAAGAATAAATTAACCAATTTTGGTAAAAAAAAATACCAAAACAACAATGTGTCTGAATAAAAGCCAGCAATTAAATATATTTTACTTTTTAATTCGATTTATTGAATTTTAAATTTAAATGTATCTACAATTTTTACAATTACTTTTGGCATTTAGGGTTATCATATTTTAGTGTTTTCAAATTCTTGGACATACATAGATACATATGTACTGTCAGTACATAAGTGTGCTTCTTCTAATTTATCATAATTACATATTTTATTAGGTATAATATTTGTTTTTAAAATTTTAAATATACATTTTAATTCTTTTTTAAATTAAATTAAGTTGGCAGAAGTTCTTTTATATTTTTTGTTTACATTTTCTTTCAGTTTTACTGAATTTCTTTTTTTTTAACAAGAAAACACAATGAATAATTTGATTTTAATTTGCTATTAGATATATTTGCAATAAATAAAGTATTGTCACATACTAAGAATATACAAAAAAAAAATGTTACAAAAATTATTACCGTTATGATCATGTATTTACTTATTTTAAATGCATATGTTTCAAATAAATATCTTTTTAAATTATCATGATGATGAGTAAAGGTTTTTGGCTTTTTTCAGAATATCCCCGGGTTTACGGGTTTTTTAAGTGAGTCTTTTTATATTTTTTTTTACATTTAAGGATTTATTTTTATCCGTTTGATTTTGTCTTAAGTACATACACATAGCAATATATTTTTTATTACTATTTTGTCTTAATACTTAAATTTATACAGTTTGAAAATTTTTTAATTTTTTTTTTTATATTTAGTTGCATCCAAATTTAGTATTTGCAAGTGTTTGTTGTTGTCATTTAAACAATATACATACAAATCGCTATATATGGTTGTACATAAAAATATTCTGTACAAATCCAATTAAAAAATAATAAACTTATTTAAGAAACATTTTTTTTTTTATTTGCTGGTGTGCGCGTATTATCCGATAAAATTAATATTAAAATTAAACTTTTGGGAAAAATAAATTTAAATGTCTTTTACATACGCATGTATGTATGTATTTAGTCCAGATTCTATGCGCATTTTAGGTATTATCCTATATATGATTGTTTTCTAAAAATATACATATCCAGATAAATGCAGTTGTAAGTACATATAAATACGCCTGCAGGTGTCAGTTCGGTGTCAACGGCCGATGCTACGCCGTCATTTGTAAGTACATTTATAATCGTTTGATGCAATGTCAGTCAAGTCATGTTGTGATGTTTCCAATTAAAGCAACTTATTTGATGTCATGTCAAAAGATGTTATGTCTGGCCTTTGTTTTTTAAATGCATAGTCTTATGCAGTGTGTATTATTCATACGTCATAATGGCGCATGTGATAAAACATCATGGTAATACTGTGTGTTATGTTTACATGTCTTGTGATGTGATGTGATTCAATTTTATAATATGAAAGTAAAATTTTATTATGACTTCTTTATATATGCATACATATGTATGTAAGATCGCGCATCGGTGTTACATCACATTATATCTAAAGGGCAATGTGTGGTAAGAAGTGATGGCACATCAATGCCAATACACGATGAGACATCATTCGTTAGAATGCCAACACGAGGTGGTAAAATTTTTCGGCACATCAATTCCAGTATGCGATGAAGCATCATATGATATTATCGCTTGATAATCATCGTATGATGTTGAGGGCCAACTTGTGATGAGACACCAATTCTATTTCATCATGAGACATCATACGCTTTAGTATCAAATCATATGAAGAGCGATACATAGAATGCGATTTAACTTCAACCTCCTGTAATCACATAATATGATCATGACATCACACATACATTGCAAGCATAAAACGTTGTGCATACTATTACGTTTTTACTGTTGAACTTCATCAGGTGATGTCTAATTTCTGATATAATGTAGTTTCTGTTTTAGCAAGTTACAAATGTAATAATTTTATAACATAATCATAATATGCCAATAGCACGAAACATGTGATGTTATATTGGATCAATCATACATATGTATGTATACTATATTTTCGTGGGATTTTAAATTTTGAATGTAATGAATTGTGATTTTATGTCATGCTATTTGAAGTTCCACTTTGTTTTGAGTAGTCAGTCATTTCTGTATATAATGTGTGTTATTGATATCGTTAGTTGTAATGATTTGATGGCAATATTTTTTATTTTTTTACTTTTTATAGCAAATATCATTTTTTTGTTATGAATAACTATGCAGTTTATTTTATGTTTATAATAAGTGTGTATTTATACATATAATATAAAAAAATAAATAAATAGCTAATAAATAAATAAATAAATAAATAGATAAATAAAATGTTATATATAGATAAAATTCTAATAGCCAGTTTCACGAAAGCCAATTAAATGAAAAATTAATTATTATTTTCGAATTAAATATGAGAACTGGCAGGAGAGAAAAAATCAGTTTTCACTTAAATTGCTTTCGTGAAGTTGGCTGTAATTATCATTGGTAATCATAAGTAACATAATGCATATGTACATGTGAATGCTATTCGCTTGCGTTACATTGTTCAGTTTTTTGTGTTTTTTTTTTGTTGCAATAATCGTTTTGGAGTGCTTGTAAACAAATTTACATTCATATTCGCCAATAACTGTGACTTGCAAAATTAGAGATTGTGTGAAATTTGACTTTAAAGATAGGAATACATATCGAGCGCTTATATTCGATATGATCTAACTGACAGAATTAAAACTCTAACTTACAGAATTAAAATTGCCACCAGTGATGAAAATTAAGCCTCAAAAAGGTTTTAACATCAAAAAGGAATTTTTTTATATAAAGTGCAGATAAAAGTCATATTGAATATATATATATATATTATGCGAATACACAAAAACGGAAATCATAAAAGGAATGGAAAAAAGCTACTCTTAAATTCCGCTTTTATTTATGCAGTCTACGCATTGTTTATATAATTTTGTCTGCACCTTCTCATGCCAAGGCCTGCCAACCACTTAACACGCTCGCTTTTTTTGAGATTTTATATACATATACATATATGTACACTGTCGGAACAAAGTATTGGCACATCAAATTTTTCACAATGTATGGAACAATTTTTATTCTAATATTTTTCCGCCAATTTTGTATAAAAATTTGGTTCATTCTACAACAAAAACTGGCGAAAATTCAGCATATTTTCTTGCAAATTTTCAACTTTTTAATCAGATTTTCTAGATTTTTTTTGAGTACGCAGTTTTACAACCCATTAAATTCTATGTAGTAAAAAAATGCTAGTTCGGAGTTAGTCAAAAATAGCATTGATTTTTGAATTTTTTTTTTTTTGTTGAAGGTGTTTTGCATTTTTTCCATATAAAGTATTTTCGAAAAAATTTTAATATATGGAAGAGACTGTGTGAAAAAAAAACTTGTACTTTATTATAATAAAATTGATTGGGCTACAATGCTGCACACCCAAAAAAATTCTAAAATATCTGATTAAAAAGTTGAAAGTTTGCTGAAGTTCCGCAAGTTTTGCACAAAGTTTAGGAAGTATATTTTAGCATTTTTTTGTAGTAGAATGAACCATATTTTTGTACAAAATTTTCGGAAAAATATTAGAATAAAAATTGTTACACATGTTGTGAAAAATTTGCTGTGCCAATATTTTGTTCCGGCAGTGTATGTATTTAATAATATGATTGTTTACTAAGACACAGCATGCGTATTCTTTGTTTTTGTTTGTTCTCTATTTAATTTTCATTTTATATTTTATTTTATTTTTTACTTCGCCTTTCGCAATTTTCTTTAAAATTTTCAATGCAATTAAGTCGAAACATATTTTTTAGCGAAACAACACCATCAAGTCTGTCACCAGTTGCGCTTAAAACACATTTTTCAAATAAAATTATTAATAAAGGTAATACATAGTAAGTAAGTAGTAAAGTATTGTCATGATTAAAAAGCAAAAGCTTGGCAAACTCAGAATAAAAATAAAGCATAAATAGTACATATGTATGCGCGTACATACATAGTCCCTAGCTGAAAAAAAAAAATAAAATAAAAAATAGCACATCCAAATTCACTCACAACCCGTTATTAAGCAACGCCATCTTCATCTCTTGCTCCTGCATGGCATCCACATTGGCCCGGTTTGCGTTGAAACGGTGTGACGACGGCCTCTTAGGCTTATGTACTTGTATGTAGGTATGTATTTATACCATAGTATCCTTATTTACATATTTCCTTCGTGTAAATATCTTGGCGCACTGCACATTTCCATCAATTTCTCATAGAGTTTATCGAGATATTGGAAGAAGCTAATACTTTCGGCAACTACCAACCAATCTAACACTTGCACCGTTTCATTGTAAGAGATGCTATTTTCATCAAAGTCTTCCAATGCAACATTGAGCGTTGCAATCACAGAGTTTGTAGCCTTTATATTAGCACTGAGGTGACTACCCGTGTGATTGAGGTATTGTGTTACATTTTTGTAAGCGTCGTCTTGCCATTTCTTATCGAGCGCATTATAAGTGCGGTTATGAATAACTTGCAACATTCGGATAGTTTTATAAATTTTATTCAGTTCAGTTTGAATCTAAAATAATAATAATAAGAAGCAGATAAAGAGAGTGAAAATATGGAATAATTAGTTTATGATTTATTTGTAAGTGCATTTAGTTAGGCTTCAGATTTAACGAACGTATTGGAGACGTTCCATTAAACGTGTATTTGCGATGCTTACCAGTTTTTCATTCAAAGTTGTGATTCCATTTTCCAAATGACTTATGTCATGATGGACCTTTTCTTTGGTGAATTCGCGATCCATTAACTTTGTATAGGGATGTGATAAATTCAATTTGTATTTACTCCATTCTTCTAATGCTATTTCTGGTGTGAGATTGAAGCGTGGTTCGGTCTGAAAAGAGATGGGGAATTGATTATTCAAATGTTTGAAAAACGTAAGCGACTATTTATAAGTTAAAATTCTTAATATGGAGTAGGTATATATGTAATAGTAATATACATATGACTATTAACATTATTGAAAATGCCTACATTCGGCTAAATTCCGCTTGAAAGGTTTGCAAAAGGCTTTTAAGAAACCGAAGGCCGTTGGATATATGTATACATATAATAGGCAATTTGAAATATCGCAAAAGGAAACACGAATTATTTCTAAAATTAGTAGGCCAAAAAGTGTTTTGCTGTCTTGAAAAGCTTTGGTATTAAAAACCTTTAAAGCTTTTACAAAAAGTTTGATTGTTATGCAAAAGTCATTTTATTTGAAGTACGAACTAAAACATTAAAAATAGCTTGATATCTTGGAAAGCTAAAAATCAAAAAAGCTTTAAAGCTTAAAAGCTTAACAAATTTTGGCTTGAATCAAACTCATATACCGCTTTGTTTAAAGCAGTCGCAACTAAAACGAGGCCCGTGAGCAGAGCATTAGAAAAAGCTCAATATTTTGAAAACTTTTAAACCAAAAAGCTTAAAATCCTGCAGTTTTTTTGTTGTATTGAAATCCACATAGCGTTTAATTTAAAACAGTCGTAAACAGAAGTAAAATGCATATTATATTAAACCAATGGTGATCTAAAAGGACTTATAATATGTGCAATGAAATGCGTATATCATAAATCTTAAAAAAAAAGTGTTTACTTTACAAAGCTGTCAAGACTGTTATAAATATACGCGTACAAGATAAAGGCTTCTCTGGTCGTCACTGCACCTGTCTATATCTGTGATGGCCTGTGCATAAGAGAGTGTGCGATGACCAGAGAGAGCTTTTACAACGTGAGAAAGGTTCTTCCGTTGGTCCACAGCAGCGGTGGGCAGAGAGAGCTTTTACTCTGCAGGTGCCTATAAAAGAGCTTTGCCCGCGGGCAAGGCGGTGCCCATAACCGGTCAACCGTCGCGTCCATAATGGGCGCGTGCCGAGAAAAAACTCTCTAATCATCATTAATAGATAACCATAGAACACTGATGAGCACGGAATTTTTCGCATACAAAGCTTTTCAAGGGTTTCTTTTTATCTCTCTAAACGTTTTTCTGAAGTTAGTTAGAGTTTATTTGTTGGGGTTTTGAATTTTGCCAATACGTATCTATGTATGTATGTAAGTATATAAGCATGTATGTATGTAGTTCTAATTTCTCATATTAATTCAGTTTATACAAATTTACTTACGAATTTCTTATACACAAAATTATTAAGTGCATTAAAAGATGTGCGCGCTTGTTTTCTCAACATGGAGATATGTTCTACCACCTTCGCGCAGTTCATATCCAGAGAACGAGTATTTAAATGATGACGATGATGTACTGGTGCAGTTTGTACAGGCGCAATTTCGCTCTCGTAGCGCAACAGATTCTTATGATGAAGCATACGGTTTTCGAGCGTATGAAGAAGCTTTCGGCCGCGTATAGACCGACCTGAAGCACCGGAGACAAGCGCGAGTATGGCAAAGCAAATGATGGGCAGGAATGCAACGGATGCTGTAAAGAGAAGACGAATTTAAAATTTAGTAAAAAAAGAAATTTAAAATTTAATTTAATATCTATTTAAATTTGATATGTGAGCCGTTATTTTTTAAGTGGCATAAGTCACTTCACACCTTTTGTGCTTAAGTGACCGGCTACTTGTATCTGAACGCGTCGGTTATTCGTTCAACTTCATCAACCAAAGGTAGAAGGTTTTGTCATTTAAAGCTGCTAAAAAACGATGATGACGTTGCTAAAAAGGGTTAGTCTTTATTCGATTATAGTCCGTTTAACAAATTAGAAAGTTATAGGGGGTGCATAAAACAAAAATTTTACACAAAAAATTTTTTTCTCGACATACATAAATATTCAAATAAAACTGACACTCGCTAAACTTTTTTTCGTGATACACCTTATTGCATGTACATATCCATATATTATTAGGGGCATTCAAATAATCAAAGCAGCCCATCACTTTGCCTTTGCAACTTCACGACCCACCTGCACTATTAGCCAAGCACACAACGCACCTATACATTTACATAAGTAGTTACACAAATACAAAAGCAAAATGATGCATACACATGCTCACGAAAGGTAAAAGCCGTGTACACATACATACACACACTTATAGTTGGGGGACCTCTTTGGCCAACTGCACTAAGCGCCAATGAGAGCTGCGTAATTATCGCACACTGTAACAGCTTAAAAGCTAATGCAATAGACACATACATATGTACACGTGTATGTAGTAATGTTAGCTGTGACAGTTAATGACTTAAATAAAAAAAAAAAAACATTAGCTGATCTTCGCTAGCTACTCATAGACGCAGTGCAGCAAATGCACACTTTTTCGTGCGCATGTTTTTTGTTGTACTTTGCGTACTTGTGCGCAATTAGTGCGGCGCATGCGCGCACATAATAATTTGTAGAATGTTTTAAAGATCTCAAGTTGTCACAAAGTAGTTAGACTAGCACGGTGGCATGCGGCATGATCGATTGATCGATCGTTCGAATGCTATCGCTTTGGATATGTACAACATATCTATGCATTTGTAGATGTACGGTATATTTCTGTAGGCATGCCCCGCACTTAATAGATGATCGAATCTAGACGTACATACATATGTACAAACTTAGACTTAATCTCTTTAGGCGGGCAATTCAAGATCAAGGCAAATACCGCCACCAATAGAAATTGGCTGCTGGTTGGTGGTAACTTATAGCAAAATGGCAATGCCAGCACTGCTGCAGGAATTGTCGTGTAAAATGCATACCACGCATGCGTCGACTGCAATTTTCATTTGTCCGCCCGCTTGTGTGTGTTGGCCAGCCATAGCTGAGCATTCGAAATTTGCTAATTATCCTTAATTATTAAACAGTTCGATATCAAAGTGGAGTGATCTTGGTGAGAAATAGTAAGTTAGTTACATACATACAAACATATGTTTGCTCGTTTTGTTTGTGGGTTGCACGCTTGCAATGTGTGGTGTATGTATGCTCGTCGTGTGAGGTCTAAGCAGCACTTTCTAAACAAAGCGGCCGCAACTACGGCGGGCCAATTAATCGATAATATGAGCATGAGCGAGCAAGTATGTAGTGATCGCGACTACGGAATGCGCTTTACAAGCGGACCTTTTTTATTAGTTGAATAGTAGTGTGTGTTTGTAAAAGCTTGAATGAATAAAATTCGTTTAAAAATTTTTGTTTAAAACATACGGTAGTTCAATAAAACTATCCAAAGTAACTCAACTAAAAGATCTTAAAATTTTTTTAATTTCCACGAAATTTTTATTTTTTTTTATTATTTTTTTAATATTTCCTTAACCTTTAGTTTCTTTCAAATTTGTGGATCTGAATGTTTTTATAACATTTTTAAGGTACGAAAAATTCAATTTTTACCAAAAATAATTTTTAAGTAAATCTAAGTACAAAAACAAAATTTTCATAATTTTTTTACAAAAAATTACTTTATCCATACATCGATTACTTAAGGTTCGCGTAAACGAGAAGAGTAATTCTCATGAGAATAAGTAAGAATACATTCTTATACTGGTAAAATACGAAATTTTATTACTCATTAGTCGGTGAGAATTAATTGCTATTCTCATGAGAAGTATTCCCATTGTTTACAAGAATCTTTAAGCACAACATTTATTAAAGTAAATAAATAAAATCAAGAAAAGTTCATCAACCTCTAAAGCTACCAAATCGCTGCAGTGTTTTCCTACATACACTTGACACTTTGATGTTACGCTCGAAAATTGTCTGGAAGTATTCAGACACTCCTCTCGGCGGCATCAAACTGCTTTGCTACTAAGCTTATTAGGGTTACAGGTCATAAGGATATTGTTTGTTGGCCACATTTGGTCTGTTGCTATATAAAAAGGTGGGCGCCCAAAACCTTGGAGTTTAAAGGGGCCAACAATTTCTCTTCACGGGGCAAATCAAAGTTTAAACACCTTGAGGCACACTGTTTTGAAGTTCGACCTATCTTCCTTTTTACTCATTCCTATTTTACTCCTTTCCTTTTTCATACCAGAATTACAGCCGGAGCTTTGCCGTTGCGAGGTGCGAGCGCTTTTAGAAAAAACTCTTCTCTAATTTAGATATTGCTCGAATTAGAGATCGAACACAGGTCGTGCGAAGTGGTAGCACGCACCTCTAGCCACTCATGCAATCATATCTGTGTGTGTAAACACAGCATGCGCTCATCAACATTCAGTTGCATTCAGCATTCTAATGAATTTTCATTCATTAATTAGTTTCATTGAACACTCACTCGCGTTGACTTGTTGTTGTTGTGCTGTCAACAATCGCTAACAATTTGCAATAGCTACGGTAATGCGTGTGGGCGGTTGCGCATTGACCTGTAAAGTAAAAATCATTCAAGAATATCCTGCTGGCTCCCCACTCGCTCAGTAACACATACCTATTTTTTTATTTGTCTAACATCTGTTTTGCCGTATAATTATGTATATAATTGACTGCAATTATACTATTGTCATTTTGTTATTAATTAAGAGAATATATATGTACAATATCTACTTTTATTATCCACCTTTTCGATTTTTCTTTGGCTTGCATAGGGCAGCAATTGAAAAGCGTGTAAGGCGGGTTACTCTTAGATACCAAAAAAATATGGAGCTAATAAATATTATATGTACGTACATACATACATACATGCATACATACATACGAACTATGAACACTTTTAGATGCATGATATAAAAATATATTTATAATTAATTATATGTGAGGAAAGGAAGAGTAGATATTGAGCACTAAGTGATTGTGTGCTTGTGGATAGATCTGAGGCGTTATGGTGTTATTTGCTAAGATATAACACAAATGTGACAGATGTGTAGGCGTTGGCATGCGCCAGCCTTGCGTGAAGACAGAATTTAAAGAAATTGTGCTAATATTGTAGGGAGAAAGACCTGAGTGATTGGCTAATCGAAAGGCTGATAGGGGACCTTAAATTTATGAAAACAAATTTCGTATGCATTTTATTGACATGGACTAAGGTTTTTTTTTCTGTGGAAGAGTTTTCAGGTTAGAAGATAAAAAACATTAAGATGGAAAATTTTCCGCTGCATTTTTTTCGTGCGAAACTCAGGATAAGGCGGATTATGTTTCATAGCATTGTTTTTAAAATTTTTTAGTTAATTATTTAGTATGAAATGTGTACGTTTTTCTAATAATTTTTAAGTTGAAAAAAAATGTTAGTTATAAAATGTAACTAAAAGATTGTTTAAAAATTTTATGCTTTTTAATTTCATGTATACAAATTTTTTAAATTTAGTTTTTAACAAAATAATTTTATTTTTAACAAACATTTTTAGAGAATTTTTTTAAATAAAAAAACTCTTTAATGTTGAAATAAAAATAAAAAATTGTTTTCTTACATACAAAATTTTAATTCTCCTTTGCTTTTATAATAAATAGCTTTGCAAGCATTAGAGAAGAGTTGTGCAGTGCATCAAGCAAAACTGTTTTCTCATTTTATTCCAGATTGGTTTTTGCGAATATTTTGAAATAAAATTTAAATAAAAAAACCGTTTTTTTTAAAAATAGACTCATAAATTATTAGCAAAAAATAAATATGTACATACATACATATGCGTGTATGTAAATACATAATTTATCTAAAAATTTTTTTCGGCGTAAATATTTTTAAGGAGCATGCATACAATATAAATTTATGTATTAAATTTTTTTTTAGCAAATTTTTTGTTCGCCTCAAATTTAAAAATGTCGTCTTTATAACCTTAAAAACGAAAATTTAATAAACAAAAATAAGCATAAATTCGAATGAGTACTATGGAACGAGTATTATGGATCGATTTTCCGTCATCCCTTGTCAAATTTGGTTTGTAGACAAACAGGTTGCGGCGTTGTGCCATCTTAAGTGTAATTTTTCGTTCTCGGAAAAACAAACAATCAAAAAGAAGTAGACAATTAAAAGTCCCGAAACATTCATCACCGTCAATATCGAAGAAAATGTATGAAGCGAAGCTTACAAATCATTGAAATAAGTTTTCATATGACGGTCGCTTCCCGATGGGCAATACTTTAAAGAAATTAAAAGGCTTCTGATTGAACCAACTGCCTCTAAAGGCTTTATAAGGCCGTCCAACAGACTTACTAAAGACCGCAGACCCAGCATAAACCCACATACATTGACCGCAAAAGTCACTTATCAAAAACCAAAACCCAAACAGTTAATGGCTTGCTTTAGCATACATACATATATGTATGTAATTTATTCTTGTGGTAAATCTTGAATTATAAATTGCAGGAGTACTGCGCAATTTCGGAATTTCACTGTGGTTCTTATTCGAAAATGGTATGAATTTCGGGTGGTTTTCCTCTAGGAAATTTAGTGACTTTGTGAATTCGGGGATATTTGTTTGTCCACTGACAGCGGTAAAGAAATTAGCTTGTTAAAAATTTCTTTAGGAAGGCAATGATAAATTTCTGAGAAATAATTCTTTCTCTTATATTTTTTTGTT